CTATTCCCTATGCCATAATAATTATATCTTTATAACTTATTTCATAACTGGCGGGCTAGACTTTTAAAGCACAAGTGGAGACAAGAAGCATGATGGGCCAGCCCAGGCCTGGTATTGTTCAAAGTGGATAGCAAATGAGACAGTGGCAGAAGAGCAGCTGGAGGATGATGTGGTTCAGAAGGATGAGGGGTTGTGGCATGGGGCAGCAGGTATGTAACTGCAAAACTTCAGGGGCTTAGGCCAAGGGAGCAGTGGCTGTGCAGAGCTAACTGGGGGAAGGAGGTGAGACTCAAAGGCCAGCAGGCTGGTCAGTGTGAGTCTCCTATAGCTGTTGTAACGAGACAGGTATGACAGGGCTGGTCCTTCCAGAGGCTCTAGGGAGAATGTTCCAACCTTTTCCAGCTTCTAGAGAAGCTGCATATGTGGCTTGTAGCCCCTTCCTCCATCTTTACAGCCAGCAGCACAGTCTCATCCATTTCTCTCTGACTCTGGCCCTCCTGCCTCTAAATTGAATACAAAAGCAAAGGCAAAGGGAGGATGAGCAGTCACTAGGTACTCAGCACCAGGTAGCTAAGCAGCAGATGCCAACACAACGCTTCCCAGAACCTATTCTACCCAAATACTGAAAGGTACATGCAGAGCTTGTGCTCAATGGGGAGTGAACTACAGCCCCAAACAGCAGACAACTGGAACCATGTAAAATGCCCATCCAAGGGGGACTAGATAAATAAATTCATGGAGTTGTTCCTACGCTCTCACAGAAAACTGTCAGTGAGACTAATACACTCACAGGCAAGTCACAACAGAATCTTAACCTACACTCAGAATCACCCACAATTTGTATGCAGACAGGAAAATTTGCAAAATACAGACACCAAACTGATTTACAGGGAGAGGTGTTATCCCCTTTTACTTAATAAACACTGGAGTTTATTACAAGAAGTTATGGGTACAATTTTATAAAGATTTAAAGAAAAAGTTTCTGGCCCTGGCCAGTATGCACAGTGGTTAGAGCGCCGAGGGTTTGATTCCTGGTCAAGAATACATACCTGGGTCTGCAGGTTTGATCCCAGGCCCTGGTCGGGGCACATGCAAGAGGCAATCAATCAATGTATGTTTCTCTCTCTCTCTCCCCTCCCCACTCCCTTCCACTCTCTCTCTGTGGGGGTGGGGAGGTGTCAATGGAAAAAATATCCTCAGATGAGGATTAACCGCCCCCCCAAAAATGTTTCCCCTCAAATATGAAAAGTGTCCATGAGAATAAAACATTGTCAACTGAATTTTTCCTAGTCATATCCAAGCTTTTAGAAGGACATTTGCAAGTGGATTTCCCCCTACCTGCCAACATTATCCTTGCTATATCTTAAGCATAATAAATTCAAGCACTCCAAAAATGTATAAATCAGACCACTATTTTTAAACTTCTGGGACTTATATTAAGAAATATGTTTTCCACCCTAGCCGATTTGGCTCAGCGGTTAGAGCGTCAGCCTGCGGACCAGAGTACCAGGTTCGGTTCCCGCTGAGGGCATGCACTTCGGTTGCAGTTTGTCCCTGACCCCGATTGGGGTCCTGTGGGTGGTGAGCACTCGATGTGTCTCTCTCACATCGATGTTTCTCACTCTCTCTCCCTCCTGCTCTATCTGATTGATGATAAATGCAAAAAGAAAAACAAAAAAATGTTTTCCATGGTAAATATACACAGTATCATAAACCAAAATAAAAGTTCCAAGAAACAACTATTTTATGTACATGAAATCTGGGATTTTCTAGTTTCTTCTTCTTCTTTTTTAACAGAATTTTTTTTTTCTTTATTGATTTTACAGAGAGAAGTGAGAGAAACATAGATGAGAGAGACCATTGATTGGCCGCCTCCTGCATGCCCCCCACTGAGGATCGGGCCCACAACCTGGGCATGTGTCCTGACCAGGAATCAAACCAGCGACCTCTTGGTGCACGGGTCAACGCTCAACCACTGAACCACACCGGCTACACCTTCTTTTTTATTTTTTTAATATAACCCATTAAACTGAATTAATAACCTACTAAAGGGTAACAGGCTGAGTACTGGGAAATAACCAGGTAGATGACTTCATGGACGCTCTACTGCTCATAGAAGCCTGCATTATGTTACTCACTGCATCCTCATAAGCACTAGCAAGGAGGGGAGGCAGCAGCTGCTCCCACTTTACAGATGAGAAACAGGTCAGGGGCTCTCCCCAGGTCACCCAGTTAAACAGGCCCAAGTACTTGTACTCTGATCTCCAAAATTTCATACAAACTCCACTAACTCACCCTTCCTTTCCACACAGCTTTTAAAGTCACTGCTAAACCTCATTTCTATGATACCACACAGAAGTTTTAAGCTAAAACCTATTATAAAAAGTAAACTCTTGCCCTGGCCGGTTTGGCTCAGCGGTTAGAGCGTCTGCCTGCGGTCCGGAGAGACCCGGGTTCGGTTTCCGCAAAGGGCATGTACCTCGGTTGCAGTTTGTCCCCGGTCCTGGTTGGTCGTGCGGGTGGCAGCCACTCGATGTGTCCCTTTCACATCGATGTTTCCCTCTCTCTCTCTTCCTCTCTCTCCCTCCCACTCTATCTGTACAAAAAAATGGAAAAATGTCCTCGGGTGAGGAAAAAAAAAAAAAAGTAAACTCTTGGGGGAAACTATACTGCTGCAGAAAAAGTACATTGTCAGAGGTCTCAGTTGGAGAGGGTGAGGTAGTAGGGAAGAGCCTATTTTAGAGAGTAGGGGAACTAGGAGAGTAACTCAGTAGTCATGTACTGCACTCCTACAGGAACAAAGATAAACATCTGAAGCCAGAAGTGACACCTGGAGATCATAAGGATCTTCTGATGACAAAACCACAGCACCCAGATGCCATGCCCTGCCAGGAATCATCAACAAGCCAAGGACAAAGCCCATTAGGAAACCTAGGACTTTTGAGGGCTTCCAGCACCAAACTGGCCCTGTGCTACTTACAAGATGCTTCCACCATCAATACCCCTGTTCAATGGGTCTCAAGGCTGTGGGGAAAGTGCTATTAATTTCCACCAATTCCAAATGAAAAAACCAAGAATCAGGGTACTGCCCGGCTAGTGTGGCTCAGTGGTTGGGCGTCACACCCATGCACCAGGAGGTCGCCAGTTTGATTCCTGGTCAAGACACATGCCCAGGTTGTGGGCCTGATCCCCAGTGGGGGGGCATACAGGAGGCGGCCAATCGATGTTGTCTCTCATCGATGTTTCCATCTCTCTCTCCTTCTCCCTTCCTCTCTCTCTAAAACCAATAAAGAAAAAGAAAAAAGAAAAAAAAGAAAGAAATCAGGGTACTGCCTAGTGATGATGGACATACCCTCCTAAAAAACCAGATACCCTAACTAGAGTATTTGTTTCTCGGTCAGAAAGACACCAGGCCTGTCCTCAGAATCCCAAATAGGCTGCACAGTGATGTCCACTGAACAGAGGAGGAAACCAGTACAAAAAAAGAAATCTAAGGGTGCATATCAAATTTGCTTAGCTGCTGCTCAGTAATAAAGGACAATCAGCTACTCTTTCAACTCAAAACGAAAGATTAGGATAAGAGCTACACATTTGGCCCTGGCCAGTTTGGCTCAGCGGTTAAAGCGTCAGCCTGCAGTCCGGAGAGACCTGGGTTCGGTTCCCGCTGAGGGCACGTACTTCGGTTGCAGTTTGTCCCCGGCCCTGGTTGGTCGTGCGGGTGGCAGCCACTCGATGTGTCCCTTCACGTCGATGTTTCTCTCTCTCTCCTTCCTCTCTCTCCCTCCCACTCTATCTGTACAAAAAATGGAAAAATATCCTCGGGTGAGGATAAAAAATAAAAAATAAAAAAAGAGCTACACATTTGTAACCACTGTCATTAGGGAGAGCTTTCCAAAATGATGCAAAACCCAGAGGATTATGGAAATGAACTAAAATAACCTAATCACATTTCAGTGAGGTCACACCTACACGGAAAAAAGTGCCACAGAGGCAGAAATTCAGGCTCCCAGCAGAGGGACCTAGGCTGAGGGCGCAAATGCCTCCCAGCAAATTCAACTTCCTTGCACCTTCTATTCTGTAATGCCAGACTTCCTGGGCGCCATTGTTTGGAGTGCCGGTTAGCATCTGATAGTGGGACCTGAACAATATCAAACAACTGCTCTCCTCAGGGTAGCCTCCTTCTCTAGCAGGAGAAGCGAGGACTTTCTTTAATGTCTCATCGTGTAAGGACCTGCTTGGTCCTTTTCCACAAAGCTAGAGGCCTAGTGGCCACTAACTGTCCCCACTCCTAAATTTAGGTCACAGGTTGGGAGGGAAAGGCAATGGTGCTCACGGTTACAATTTTACTTCTGGAAAACCTTTCCTTCCCCCTGGCTTTTGGATTTCTAGTTGAAGTTGGCTTCTCTATTCCACTACCCCTCAGCAGCTTCCTTATTTTGGCCTGGAACGCCCGCTCCCTAAGAGGGAAGGACCCACCTTCTCTGGGACACGGACCCAGCAGTTAAGAACCAGTTCCGGGCCGGCCCCAGGGAGCAACCTAGACACGCGCTAATCTCACAAGGGGTTCCTCCAGGAGCGACCTGCGGACAGGACGGTCCCTCAACCAGGAGTCCAGAAGCCTGGGCCGGGGGCGGGGCCCCTGTATTTTGAACTGATAATCCACAAACACACACAAGGTTGGAGGGCCGCCTCTGGGGGCGACCTGCGAAGTCTCTTCCGGGGTCATCGCGGGAAGGGGAAAGAGGACCCCATCGCCGAGCCGGTAAACTGAGACTCCGAGAGGAAGGCCACCAAGTGGCAGGTCCCCCCAGGCGGAAGGGACGAGGTATCCGAGAACCGCGAGTTGGGGCCTTTGGGGTCTCGTCTGGGGCCGCCTTCGGCTCTCGAAGGTAAACTGAGGTTCCGAGAGGGAGGAGCGGCTGTGCGGCGCCTCTGGGGCAAGCCGCAGGTTGGGTTCACGGGCAGGGACAGGCCAGCTACGCGTCGCGCGCCCGGCTCACCTCCTCCTCCTTGTGGTTGCGGATGCCGCGCACCAGGTCCTGCAGGTTCTTGTCGAACATGCGGTCAATGCTGCCCTTGACCATCTTGAGGGCCATCACGGCGGCCGCCGGCGACCTGGAGCCCCGAGAGGCGCGAGGCCGGGAGCCGTGCAGGGGGTCGGGGGCTGCACTTGCCGCCCGCGGAGCGCTGCGCTGCCGGCCGCCGCTGCGGGGCGGGCTCCTAGACCAGGCCGGCGGAGGTCCGGGGCGGGGCGGGGCGGGGCGGCGGCGACCGCGGCGGCGACCGCGGCGGAATCCGCTGGGCAGCCGTGCTCCCTCCCCTCACGCTCCGCGGCACTTGCAAATGGCGGACAAGATGGCGGCCGGTCAGCTGACGGCGGGCTGGGCAGCCGACGGTCCACCCCCGGAAATTCCGCCTTCCACGAAGACACTACGTTTCCCTGACGACACCAGACCACCCAATGGAAACGCGGACAACACCCCTGGAGCCCACTTAGCTGTGTCCGCTCCGGCTCAGGACTCTTCCCTCTCATTGGTCAGTGTCCTCTGGAGCTCCACCCACCTTCTCTTTTCTGGTGATAGCCACGCCCCCTAGAAGAGACCTCTGCCCTTACTAAATGACAGCTGTGGGCGGGATGCCCACGTGGAGCTTCGCTGGCAAGTTCCTGGAGAAGAATCCAGCTCTGCCTTTTCTGATTCTGAAAGCTGACGCTGCCCTGCCGGTTTGGCTCAGCAGTAAGAGCGTCAACCCACGGACCAAGAAATCGCGGTTCAGTTCCAGTCAAGGGCATGTACTTCGGTTGCGGTTGGTCCGTGGCCCTAGTAGGGCCCTGCCGGGGGCAACTGGTCGATGTGTTCCTCTCAGGGATCCATGTTTTTCTCGCTTTCCCTCTCCTTCCCTCTCACTATGAAGGTAAATAGAAAAATATCTGGGTGAGGATTTTTTTTTTTTTTTTAATCCTCACCCAAGGACTTTTTTTTTTTTTTTTTTTTTTCATTTTTTGTTCAGATAGAGTGGGAGGGGGAGAGAGAGAGAAACATCAATGTTAAAGGGACACATGGAGTGGCTGCCTCCGGCACAACCCAACCAGGGCCAGGGACAAACTGCAACCAAGGTACGTGCCCTTAGCGGGAACCGAACCCTGGTCTCTCTGGACCGCAGGCCGATGCTCCAACCGCTGAACCAAACCGGCCAGGGCCCGGTTGAGAATTAAAAAATAAAATAAATAAATAAATAAAAGCTGATGCAGGTCAAGAACCTGCAAACCCAACGCTGCAGTGAACGGATCCTGCATCTCCTGCACATCTGACTAAATCCTGTGACATGGGTAGGACGGGAATAACCATGGGTCAGAACTAGGATCCCCCCTCAAAGCAGTCATTCATTCAACAAACATTTAGTGAGAGTCTTCAGAATGTCAGGAATGGTAACGAGCACTGGACACAAAGCAGTGAGTGAGATACATTCAGTGCCAGCCCAACAGATACACCATTCTGAGAGTAAAAAAGCAAGCAAACTGAGATAAGACATTTGCCATACATATATCTAACAATGGACTTAATAAGCCACAACATGGCTCAACAACACAGAAAATCAAGCAGAACAATACAAAAATTCTTCCAAATCATGAGGAAAAAAAACAACCCAGTTAAAACATGGCAAAACACTCGCCCAGCCAGTGTGGCCCAGTGGTTGAGCATCAACCCATGCACCAAGAGGTCACCAATTTGATTCCCGGTCAGGGCACATGCCCAGGTTGTGGGTCCAATCCTCAGTGGGGGCATGCAGGCGGCAGCCAGTCAATGTTCTCTCTCATTGATGTTTCTCTCTCTCCCTCTCCCTTCCTCTATCTCTAAAAGCAATACAGAAAAAAAAATTTTTTTTTTGAAACACACAAAAATATGCCAAAACACTAACATGCACGTCATAAAAGAAGACATCTGAATGGCTAATGGGTATATGAAAAAGTTGCTCCATGTCATTAGTAATCAGGGCAATATACATTTAAACCACAATGATATACCTCTATGAGAATGGCTAAAATTAGAAAGACTAATGACATCGTGTTGAAAGGATGTGGAGCAACTGGAGCTCCCTTACACTTCAGGTAGGAATGTAAAACTACACAGCTATCTATATTGGACACTTGTCTGGCTGTCTTTTAAAGCTAACATATGTTTAATCTTGTGACCCAGCAATTACACTACTGTTCTCAACAAGAATGCTGTGATGTATCCACCAAAGACTTAGACAAGAATGTTCAAAGTAGCTTATTTTATTAGCAAGATCCAAAATAATCCAAATGTCCATCAACAGAAATGGATACATAACTTGTGATAAATTCACACAATGGAATACTATACAGCAACTAAAAAGAACAAATTACTTATACACAGAACAAAATGGATGAGTTACACCACACAATGTTGAACATAATAAGCAAGGCACAAAAGAGTGTATACAGTATGATTCTATTTATGTGTTCAATTGCAGGCAAAACTAATTGATAATGATAAAATTAAGTATTAAGAATGATCAAGAGGCCCTGGCTGATTTGGCTCAGCGGTTACAGCGTTGGCCCATGGACCAGAGAGACCCAGGTTTGGTTGCCGCTAGGGGCATGTACCTCGGTTGCAGTTTGTCCCCAGCCCCAGTTGGGGTTGTATGGGTGGCAACCAGTCCATGTTTTTCTCTCACATTGATGTTTCTCTCTCTCTCTTCCTCCCTCTTACCCTCCAGCTCTATCTGAAGATAAATGCAAAAATGTCCTCAGGTGAGGATAAAAAAAAAAAAGAATGACCAAGAGGCCCTGGCCGGGTAGTTCACTTGGTTAGAGTACTGTCCCCATATGCCAAGGTTGCAGATTTGATCCCCAGTCAGGGCAAATACAAGAATCAGCCAATGAATGCATAACAACAAAACAATATTTCTCTCTTCCTCCCTCTAAAAATCAATAAACAAAAACAATTTTTGCCCTGGGCGGTTTGCTCAACAGTTAGAGCGTCAGCCTGCGGTCCAGAGAGACCTGGGTTCGGTTCCCACTAAGGGTGCGTACCTTGGTTGCGGTTTGTCCCCGGCCCTGGTTGGGTCGTGCGGGTGGCAACAACTCAATGTGTTCCTTTCATGTCGATGTTTCTCTCTCTCTTCCTCTCTTTCCCTTCCACTCTATCCGAACAAAATATCAAAAAATGTCCTCGGGTGAGGATAAAAAGAAAAAACAAACAAACAATTTTTAAAGAATGACTAAGGTTTTTTTTTTAATGCTTACCCAAGGATATTTTTTAGAGAGAGAGGAAACAACAATGTCAGAGAGACACTTTGGCTGCCTCCTGTACACAGTCCTCTCAGGCCAGGAATTGAACCTGAAAACCCAGGTACATGCCCCTTGACCGGGAATCAAACTTGAGACCCCTCGGTGTGCAGGTCAACACTCAATCCACTGAGCCACACTGGCCAGGGCTAGAATGACTAAGATTTTTTATCAGAAACAATTCACACCAGAAGACAATGGCATTATTTATTTATTTGGGGAGGGGGGGGTGGTTAATCTTCAACTGAGGATGTTTTTCCATTGAGTTTTAGATAGAGTGGAAGAAAGGGAGGGAGAGAAAACATCGATGTGAAAGACACAGTGGTTGGTTGCCTCCTGCATTACCCTGGCTGGGGCTAGGGATCAAACCTGCAATCCTACAGTCCTAGGGTTGACACTCTAACTGCTGAGCCAACCGGCCAGGTCTGGTATAATATTTTTAAAGTACCAAAAAAACAAAGAAAAAAAAACTAGAATTCTATACCCTGCAACAACATATTTCAAAAGTGAAGGCAATACATATTTTCAGACAAATGAAAGTTGAGTTAACTTATGGCTAATAGAACTACATTAAGAGAAATGTTAAAGGATGTTTCCTGAATGGGGAATCAAACTGGGACCTCTTAGTCCCCGGAACAACGCTGTATCCACTGAGCCACTTCTGCCGGCCAAGGGCTACCTGTTTAAGACTCGTTATAAACCCATGGTAATCAAAATAGTAAAACAGACAAAAGAGAGTAAAAAAAACCCTGGCTGGTTTGGCTCAGCAGTTTGAGCATCGGCCTGCGGTCCAGAGAGACCTGGGTTCAGTTGCCGCTAAGGGCATGTACCTCGGTTGCAGTTTGTCCCCAGCCCTAGTTGGGTCGTGCAGGTGGCAGCCACTCCATGTGTCCCTTTCATGTCGATGTTTCTCTCTCTCTCTTCCTCTCTCTCCCTTCCGCTCTATCTGAACAAAAATGAAAAAATGTCCTTGAGTGAGGATTTTTAAATGTTTTTAAAAAAAAGAGTAAAAAAAGAAAAAAAAAAGTGTTTCCACAGTTATATAGTCAACTGATTTAAATAACTCAACAGAGGACAGAAATAGTCTTTTCAAAAAATGGTGCTGTAGCCCTGGCCGGTTTGGCTCAGCGGTTGGAGCGTCTGCGGTACAGAGAGGCCCGGGTTCGGTTCCCGCTAAGGGCACGTGCCTCGGTTGCAGTTTGTCCCCGGCCCCGGTTGGTCATGCGGGTGACAGCCACTCGATGTGTCCCTTCACATCGATGTTTCTCTCTCTCTCTCTCTCCCTCCCGCTCTATCTGAACAAAAAATGGAAAAATGTCCTCGGGTGAGGATAAAAAAAAAAAATGGTGCTGTAATGACTGAATAACAAAATGGAAAAAGAGTTGTTCCTGAATCTAAATGTGTACTATATACAAATTTAACTCATAATGGATCATAGACCTCAATGTAAAAGCTGAAAGTATACAACTTCTGGACAGAAACAGGAGAAAATCTTTGTGATTTTGCTTACTCATCGATGTTTTTGCTAGAACACAAAAAGTACAAACCATCTTTTGAAAGAAATAAGATGGGCTTTATAAAAAAAAAATTAATTTCTCTTTAAAAATGTTAAGAAAACAATAAAGCTGGAACCACCTGTGGAAAATATTCACAATACAAATGTCTGACAAATAAGAAATAATAAAAAAAAGGCAAACCAATTTTTAAGTGGGTAATAGATTTGAACAGCAGATACTTTACTAAAGAAAATTATAAATGCCCAATAAGCATATGAAAAGATACTTAACATAATTAGTCATTTAGGAAATGATGATCACCCATGGGATGCCACAGTATATGTATTAAAAAGATTTGCCCTGGCCTGTTTGGTTCAAAGGTTAGAGCATTGACCCACGGACCAATGAGTCGTGGGTTCGATTC